AAATAGCGCAAAAACAGGAAATATGGTGTCTAAAGCGCAAGTCTCTTAATGAACTTCTTGTTTATTGAACTGTTGTAAAAAAAACAATATCACATTTGTAATCATTGTCATTTTGGGAGAAAAAAACGGCACTCTTCGTGTGAAATTGATTAACTAGGCTATCTGAAGTGGTATAAATATATACATTTTCTGCCCCCATGTCTTGAATTTGTGATCATTCTAAATGTATTGTAATAGACTGGATCGTCAGCTCTCTAAATGCGCGCGCGCACTAGTCTAGACTTCACGTAATGTGTGCGTGCACTCTGTAGCGGTGTTTTGAAAGTTTTTTGCAAAATACTCGATAATGTCAAATCGCACATCGTTAAAACAACAATTACGATATTATCGCAGACGATATATATCGCACACCCCTAAAGTGAAACAGTGACATTTAATTAACGCTTCTCTGATGAGACGTTTTAACTGATTCGTGTACACAATATGGACAAGCCACAAGGGGTAAACATCAGCAAAGCGGAGCAAAAATCATGCTACAAGAGAATGTCAAATTATTTCAAGTGAAATTGCAAGAGGCAGTTTGTTACCGAAGAAATTTTAGATGTAAACACTGATCATTACAGTATACACCACAAACTTATAAATATGAATTCATTCAAATATTTATTCAAGCATACTTACTTTTCCCGATATATATTAGCTGCCTATATTGTTCACTTAAAAATTACGCAACAGATTAATTCATTTCAGTGCATGACTATCAGTATTTCATACCACAGGAGTTGTATAATACTTTGTATGGAAAAAGAGTAGCTTGGAGTAAATTCTCCATATAAATCATACAAGCTTGGATTGCAATTTTTTTGTGAACTCTCTCTGTAAGAACATTAAGTATAAAGTGTAATATCAATTGTTGTTCAATGTCATTTCTCTAGCCTCAAATACATACCAGGTCTGCATATTTCTTACAAAGGGCAGCGAGTTTTTCTTCTGGGGTGGCTAAAGTATGAAGCGCCTGCATCAGCAACAAAACCTCTTTGCCTACGACAACAAAAGAAGAATTATGCATAGAATAACTTGTTGCTGACAAACGAGTCATCCTATCACAATGTAAAAAAAAAAAACACAAAGGGATTGTTCACCCAAAAAAGAAAATTCTGTTGTTATTTACTCACCCTCAAACTTGATTCCTAAACCGAACAGTTGTTGGTCCCCGCTGACTTCCATAGTATGGAAGAAAATACTATGGAAGTCAATGGGGACCAGAAACTGTTTGGTTACCCACATTCTTCAAAATATCTTCTTCTGTGTTCAGCCGAAGGAAAAAAAACTCATACAGGTTTGGAACATCTTGAGCGTGAGTAAATGATGACCGAAAGTTCTTTTTTTGTATGACTATCTCTTGAATACAGGGCTCTGTTTATTTCTTATATTGAACCCGACACATTCCTTGAATGGCGAACACTAACCAAATGCTTTTTGGTCCTTGGTTTTCTCAGCATTAGGGTCCAACTCCCCATCGAGGGGGTCAGGGTTCCTATCCTCCCTTCCTGGCGTCTCCCCTCTCTCCTCCTCACTGCTCACCAGCCCCGCAAAATCCTCCACATTATCCTGGGATGGGGTCTCAACATCCGGAGGTGAACTGCTCCCTTCAACAAGTCCTCTGGCTTCTAGACCACAGACCCCGATGATTTCCTCCATGACTTCAGTGCCCTGATGATGCAAACACAAAAACCGTCAAAGGAGACGAGTTTAAGTTATCCAAGCTGAGTCTGTGTAGTTTTGACACTGACATTAAACCCTGCATTTAGGTGGCATGTGTCATAACCAATACAACGACACCAGCTCTAATTCTAGATATTTACTGCAAACACAGAAAACTCACTATACACGGAAAGACAGAACTGAGCACGTGCTGCATTAAGAGCAGCCACACGCCAAACAGAGGCTGCGTCTCAAATCCCAGCGAGCTCTCTACCTAGGCAGCATTTTTGGGCACCATACACGTTTAAAATGCTGTCTAGGCACGAAGCTCACAAAGTTTAGAGGCACAGTCAGAGAGCTGCATTAAAATCAACAAGAGCAAATGAGTGAGAGGGAACGGGTTAAGACATGAAAAAATGAGACCACTGAGGTGTTTATTCAAAGCACGTGTCAACTAATAATCTGTGCAAAAGTAAATGCGTCAGCACTGACCAATTACAGTATACACTACAAACGTATCAATATGGAATAACTAAAATATATATCCAAGCATACTTAGTTTCCTGACAGACGTATATAACGCGAAATAATTCTTATGTTTAATCACATGATAAATTAAACCCACAAATGAGCCTCATATTGATCAGTTTCCCGGGGTTAAAAGTTTAAAGGGGCTATTTATGAAGCATATCACAGCTCAGATAAAATAGTAAGCCCAAAAATCATCTTGTCGTGAAGTCTGTAAAGTGATAAAGCTGTAAACCTCGGGCTAACCCCGCATTCACCCTGTTCAACACACACATACACGTGTATTTAACACTTTTATCATCTATTTCAAAATCCTTACCCTCACTTTTATGTCAGCGCTAGAAATAAAACAGATCACATGTAAATCTAAAACGGGTTGTAGATCCCGATGTTTAGCCTTGATATTTGGATAAAGAGAGTTGAAGTGCGCTTGTAAGTTGCTTAGCGGGCTAAAGCTACTTCCTTCGTAAATAACACGCCTTTACGGCGACAGGTTCCCTTCGTGGGTGTATAACAAGTCTTCCGTGGCGTTAGATGTGTTAATGATGTTATATTTAAAAGAAATGTTCAACAGCGAGCAGGTTGAGGTACAGTAACGTTACCTGTGTGTTTTCAGTGTTTTCGTGCCTGGCGTCTGAGCGCGTCGCCATGTTGTGACGCAACACCGAGAAGTGAAAAGAGTAGCATCTGCCTGAAAAACCGGAGGCTGCAAATTATAAAACTCAAGTCAAACATATTTATTATGTATTCAAATGCTTTGTAATTTTATTTTTAACTATAAAAATGCACTGTTTCTGCTATTAATTAAATTGTCGTTTTATTTCGACATGCTTTAGGATTAAATCGCACACGTTACTCTTCAGGTAGCCTATAATCCTTTTATTATGTGTGTATATAAATAAATGTTACTTTCAGTGTTGGGGAAGTAATGTATTACAATATTGCGTTACTCCATAAAAAAGTAACCAATTATGGTACTTAGTTACTTTTTATGGAAAGTAGTGCGTTACGTTACTTTTGCGTTACTTTTAAAATCTCGACAGGGCTTGCTTGTTTGTTTTTAAAATAAAAAAGTTATATTTTTGGCAAATATTAAAGCCTTTTCACACCAAAAGTGAAATGAATAAGCCTCAGGCTGAAGGGAAAGTACATTTACGTCCGTACAGTAGAATGCAGAAGAAGACATTTCAACACACTTCAGCAATAAAAAAAGACAAACAAATGTTTGTCTAGAGTAATTTTTGCTTATTAATATGGTTGAAATGGATAATCGAAGGTCAGAAGCAAAGACATTGGTTAATAGAATGGGAATAAATACATAAAGGATATTTGTGTTGTTTAACATTTTTTTGTGAGTGAGATGAATTAATTCATATTCATATTTATTTTGAACTACAGTAACATCTTCTGATTTCTCTCAACATGGGGACAGGAGAGCTGTCAATCAATAAATTGGAAAAAAAAAGTAACTTGCGTTACTTATTTGAAAAATTAACTCAGATATTCTCTTGTAAATTAAAAAGTAATGCGTTACTTTACTAGTTACTTGAAAAAAGTAATCTGATTGCGTAACTCGCGTTACTTGTAATGCGTTACCCCCAACACTGGTTACTTTTACATACAGTAAATCGTTACGAAAATAGCATCTATTATTAACCCTGGGCAGAGATTTTTAAAATTGAAACAAATCTTGTGTTTGAATTCCGTATTAACTCTGTTCAAATGAGGTCCAGTTTTTGTTCTGTCACTGTGGTCTTCACAAAGTCCTTTAGTTGCTGCTTAGGAGCGGACAGCCACCTCGCTCCCATGAAGCTCTTATGGGGACACTAGACACTCAAGAGCCCGAGAGCTCAGAAAGAGAGAAGTGATCCAGAATATTCAGACCTGAATACAGGGAAGTATATAGAAAACATTTCAGCCAAATGCAGGAAACAGCATTAAATTGGTTTGATCTGGGCACTGGTGATGAGAAACCCTTCTTTGCTTTCAAATCAAACTAATTGTATGCACTGCAGAAGACGCCTCTGCCTTACAATGCTGGGAAGGAAGCAACACTTCATATTTTCTGGCAATGTTTATGGTGGGAGTGTAGACTAGTTTCACACGCACATGTTTTTGTCACTTTGTTAAATCTAGTAACAGATGTTTCTGTAAACATTGCAATGCATTTTTTCCCCCACTATTTGAATTCCATTTTTCTTTTCTTTTCTGATCCCTTAAAATTGTCTAAATTGTCTTTTATTTAACAATAGCAACAACCAACCACTTACAAACATGAAAACATTCTGAATAAACCCTCTTCTAGTTGGTTTATGGATTTTAAAAATACCATACACATGATAACAGCCAAATGGAATTTGAATGGAGAATTATTGTTATAAATTTTTTTCTTTGTTAATATTTATCATAATGTTATCCCAGATTAAGTGATTTTTTCCCGTTTTTATTTTACTAGATGCTAAATAATTTCATTTTTTAAGAAGTCATATTTTTATGGCCACATGTTTCTTTATATATACCAATTTCTTCATTTTTAGTTGTTATGAGAAATTTTGAAAAATAATCATGTGTTCAAATGTGGTTCAATGTGTAAACAACACAGCACCCAAACAATTACAGTAACATTACCATAATTTTTTTAATACTTTTTTATTTAAATGAAGGCTATATTAAGTTACATCTTCTAATATTAATTGGATTATCGCGTTTTGTACAGAGGCACTATTGTGAGTTATTGGCTGCGCTTCTCCAGCGCGGCCTGCAGGAGGCAGCATCACACTGAGATCGGCCCGAGTCTACATGTAAAGCGGAAAAGAAGAAGAAGAAGAAGAAAAATAAATGGCGCGTTCCTACATGTAAAGCGGAAAAGAAGAAGAAGAAGAAGAAAAATAAATGGCGCGTTCCTGGAGTTGTTACTTTGTTAAGATGTCAATTTAGTGCATTAATTTCATGTTGTTGTGTTCCATTGTACCCCAGCCGACCAGAATGAATTATTTCTTCGAGCGTTGTTAAGGGATTGTGCTTGTCTCTGGGGTTACAGTTAAGAGTGGGCGACTATTATAGTGCTTGGTGCAGCTCTTTACATGTGATCAGTGTGTTTTGGAGGAAAATGCCTCTTATTAAGCTCAGAGGAGTCACTGTGGACTTTCCCTTCACTCCATACCCGTGCCAGGAGGACTACATGAGCAAAGTCATCGAGTGCCTGCAGAATGTAAGAACGTACACTACATAGACAAAATTATTGGGACACCCCCTTCTAATGAACAGGTTTGACTACTTTAGTAATTTCCAGGAGTACAAATCTTAATGTTCAAGCATATAATGATATTCTGGGGAATTGTGTGCTTCTAATTTTATAGCAACAGTTTGGACAAGACCCTTTTCTATTTTAACATGACAATGCCTCTGTGTATAAGGCAAGGTTAAAAAAGAAATGATTGATTCAGTCAGTGTGGAAGAACTTGACTGTTCTGCAGAAACCCAGCTGAACACCTCTGGTGTGACTTTAAATGCAGACATTGAGCCAAAAACTCATCACCAAACACCAATGACTAGAATAGAAAAGGGTCCTGTCCAAACTGTTGCTATAAAATTAGAATCACAATTCCCCAGAATATCATTATAAGCTTTAACATCAAGATTTGTACTCATGGAAATGACTAAAGTAGTCAAACCCGTTCATTAGAACACTTTACTTTTGTTTTGTCCATATAGTGTATACAACCCCAGCTACATTTACAGTCTTGATAGACATTGAAATACCCTTTGCTTTGACTTGCCAACTACTTTAAGATTAACCCCCATGCGTCAGTTTAAAAATTTACACAGAGGTCCTTAGAGGATAAAAATATCTATTATATATATATATCATAAAAATATATTAGTATTTTGTTTTCCCGCTTTGATATGGATCTTGTTACCAACATTCGTCTTGATCATAACTAACAAAAAATCATTTCTTTTCAATATTTTGACCTGGTAAATGGCAGTTTGTTTACATAATGGCATTGTTGTCATACTAAATGCTAAGCAGATTTTCTTTTGGATTATTACAGCTGTGTATATGTTAGTGATTAGCAACAACATGTATTTTAATGCATTATTATTTTTGTGCAGTGTCAGATTTATAAAAAATAAAAAAATAAAAAAACTACAATTCATACACACTTTTCTCAGTAGACACATACAAACCACACTCCGGCATCCACAGAATTATAATTACATAAATTAATAGTTTTTTCTCCCAGCAGAAGCAGAAAACAGGTAAAAAGTGAGGCTATTCTTTATAGGCCAGAGAACCTGAGAAAATGGTTTCATCAGGTGGAAAATAGTAAAAAAAAAAAAAAGTAAATATGTTGTAGCCTTTCCAAAATATTGAAAGCCTATTAACAAAGAATGCATACTTTATGCTTCAGTGGCACTAGGATTAAATACTGCCGATTGAATGGTAGATCCTGAGTAAGTGTAAAATATGAAATATTAGAATTCCAATAAAAATACACATTTTATGCTGTTTGCATTAACACAAACCAAAATGAATTATGCACATGGGTTAAGGGGCTTTAAAGATAGAACAGAGTTGAAATTGTACAACATCACATTATAGTCTTCTTAACAAAGAGAAAAGTCTGCCACTTTTTGTTTTCGTAAAGTTAAATAACTTTTTTTCCCATTAGAGGTAAAATATCATTGTAAATGTCTCTGAATGACATTCTGCTGCAGGTGGAATGACATTTTTGTTTTACTTACCCTTTGATTCATGTATAATATGAAGACAGTACAATTTAATCTAATGCAATAAAGGTTTTAAAGTCTTCCTGTAAGGTCACATTGTTCCATTCATTGCCTATTAATGGTATGACATGCCCTTGTACTCTTTCAGAAAGTGAATGGAGTTCTTGAAAGTCCCACTGGCACAGGTAAAACGCTCTGTCTGCTGTGTTCAGCGCTGGGGTGGAGAGAGCACTTCAAAGACACCATCTCTGCCCGCAAGATAGCAGAGAGAATGGGAGGTGCGGAGCTCTTCCCCGACAGACCGATGTCATCATGGGGAACAGCAGCCACCGACGGAGACACTCCAAGTATTGTCCTTACACTGATATGACTTATAAACTAATTTCCTTTGACAGTTTACATGCTGGACAGCGTTAGGAGTTGTACTTCAAAACACAAGTGTCATAATCGTGAGTTTTGTCTTTCCTTAATATTTTAGCTTATTACACAGACATCCCCAAGATCATATATGCATCCAGGACCCATTCACAGCTGACACAAGTCATCAGTGAACTGAAGAACACATCATACAGGTCAGCTATCTGAATTAATATCACACATTCAAAGGATATTGTGCAGTCAGCCATTTATTATCACATTTAGAATATGAAAACATATAATGGAAAACATTATATACTGCTAAAAGGGTTTTCAACATTTTCTGGTAATACATACACTACTGTTTTAATAAAAATACAGTAATATTGTGAAATTATTACAATTTAAAATAACTTTTTTCTATTTGAATATATTTTAAAATGTAATTTATTAATGTGATACAATGTTGAATTTTCAACATCATTACTCCAATCTTCAGCGTCATGTTATCCTTCAGAAATCATTCTGATATGCTGATTTGCTGTTCAAGAAACATTTAAGCATTCTTGCTGATTAAAAATTATTTCATTTTCATTTTTCAATAACAGATTGTATTGTTCTTGATTGCAGGCCAAAGATGTGTGTTTTGGGATCAAGAGAACAGCTCTGCATAAACCAGGAAGTGATGCGTCAAGAAAGTAGCCACGTTAAGGTATGATCCACTGTTATTTTAGTATAAGTGAGATACTATAATAGGCTTTAAAAATATTTAAAATCAGTTTTTATTTTTGTATTTTCCATTTTAATTTTGGTAATTTTTTTGCATTTTCTGTGTTTTTAGTAGTGTGTGTATATGTGTGTATACACACACATACAGTGGGTACGGAAAGTATTCAGACCCCCTTAAATTTTTCACTCTTTGTTATATTGCAGCCATTTGCTAAAATCATTTAAGTTAATTTTTTTTCCTCATTAATGTACACACAGCACCCCATATTGACAGAAAAACACAGAATTGTTGACATTTTTGCAGATTTATTAAAAAAGAAAAACTAAAATATCACATGGTCCTAAGTATTCAGATATTTCAGTTTTTCTTTTTTAATAAATCTGCAAAAATGTCAACAATTCTGTGTTTTTCTGTCAATATGGGGTGCTGTGTGTACATTAATGAGGAAAAAAAATTAACTTAAATGATTTTACCAAATGGCTGCAATATAACAAAGAGTGAAAAATTTAAGGGGGTCTGAATACTTTCCGTACCCACTGTATATATATATATCTCAGCACCATATTAATGAAAGCATTATGTCTTATTTCAAGGTTCACATGTGCAGAGCAAAAGTATCGTCTCGCTCCTGTGTCTTTTACAACAGTGTTGATGGTATGAAGACTAAAATTGGTGACATACCAGTAGAGCTTTGTGTTAGTTATAATGGTTTTGATTGTTAATTTGTGAATCTGCTTATAAATAGAAACTGTTGAATGCTTCTTTTTGTTTTGTTCCTTTTTAGAGAAAAGCACTGACAAAGAAATCATGAATTCTATTCTGGATGTGGAAGATCTTGTAAAAACAGGCAAAAAGCAAAGGTGAGACACTGCATGCTGTTTCATGGCTTGACTGCAGCACTGAAAGAAATGGGTGTGTTTAAAACATCTTAAATCTGCTGATGCAGCATCTGACATGTTTCCAGTGTGAGTATTTTCTTTTTGAGTGTTTGTAAATAGTGACATTGATCAGATTGTTTGTTCCTGTAGAGTGTGTCCATACTACCTGTCACACGCACTTAAACAACACGCTGATGTCATCTTCATGCCATACAACTACCTGCTTGACCCAAAGGTGAGACATTTATCCTGCCGATATCATCACTTTAAATACACTACTGTTCATTTTTTTAATGGTTTTGAAGAAAGTCTCTTATACTAACCAAGACTGCTTCTTCTCCCCGAGTTACCGTCTTCCGCCATTTTGGAGAGTACCCTGAACGTAATCAGCGCTGTTTACGTTCAGTAGACAGTGTGCGCATGCTGAACATAAATTATGTTATTATTGTTTTCTTTGCGCACAAAAAGTATTCGCGTAGCTTCGTAAAATTACGGTTTAACCCCTGATGTTACATGGACTATTTTACCGATCTCCTTGCTACGTTTCTGGACCTGGGAACATTGCTGTCTATGGGAGGGTCAGAGAGCGCTCAGATTTCATCAGAAATATCTTAATTTGTGTTCCGAAGATGAACGAAGGTCTTACAGGTTTGGAACGACATGAGGGTGAGTAATTAAAGACAGAATTTTCATTTTTGCGTGAACTAACCCTTTAATTGATTGAAAATACAGTAATATTTTTTTTTAAATGAACTCTGTTTATTCTTGTGATGTTGAAGCTCAATCTTCAGCATCATTACTCCAGTCTTCAGTGTTACATGATCCTTCAGAAATTATTCTAATATGCTGATTTGCTGCTCAAGAAACATTTATTATAACTATTGAAAACAGTTTTAGCTGCTTAATATTTTTCTGGATACATTTTTTTAGTTCTTTCATCATTTTCATTTTCATTCTTTAATTAATAGAAAAGAGCAGCATTTATTTGGAAAAATAAATCTTTTTTAACCTTTTGAAAGTCTTTGTCACTTTTGGTCAATTTAATGCATCCTTGTTGAATAAAAATATTTATTTCTTTGGGGAAAAAAATCCTACTGACCCCAAAGTTTAACAGTTATAGTACCTTTATCATTATATATTTCTCCACGAGTTCGCCTGTCCTTCCAGTCCTGATGGTTAATGGTAAACAAACTTGGCTTTCTGTCTTCGATGGAGGCAGGAACCCGAACCCGAAGCTTGAGCTCAGAGTTCAACCCCCCATTACGGCACTTCATAGAGGGAGTATGACAGAATTAGAGGAGGAGATGGGGAGGTGGAGGGGTGCTGTAAGAATTGTCACTGGGACGGCGCAATGACTGCTGCTTATATACTGTAGGCTCGTGATGATTGACAGGACTGAATGATTAGGCTCCTCCTGAACCTACGTTTAGAACTTCATTTATTTGTTGTGTGTTTTTCTGGGATAGATCTGTTTGATTTTATTCTAAATTGATTTTTGTTGATTCACAGAGTCGAAGAGCACACAACATAGAGCTGAAAGGAGCTGTGGTTATTTTTGATGAGGCTCATAATGTTGTAAGTATCTTAAAGGGTTAGTCCACCTAAAAATTTAAATTAGCCTGTGTTTTACTCACCCTCGAGCCATCGTAGGTGTATATGACTTTCTTCTTTCAGACGAATCCAATCAGAGTTATATTAAAAATTGTCCTGGCTATTCCAAGCGTTATTATTGTAGTGGGTGGGTGTTTCTCTTTAACAGTCCAAAACACGTTAAATAAAGCGTGCGCTTCCATAATAAAATGTCCCTCACACGGCTCCGGGGCGTGAAAAAAGGCCTCCTGTAGCCATTCCATGCGTTTTTGTAAGAAAAATATCCATATTTCAAACGTAATAAACACTTTTCTCTCACTTCTGCTGACTGTCGTATGCGGAAGCGTTCCGGCGGATGACGTAGGACGAATGCGTCGTGCGTGCCTCTGAGATATGCTAGTCTAACGAGTTTGTTTACAGGCGCAAAGGAAGCAAAGTTCCTTACTTTAGCAAAGGAAAACCAGTCTCCTCTTGGCTTATATCGAAATCCGCCGACATTTTTATTTACAAATACTCGTTTTGTGCTTCTAATTCATGACCGGCGTTTTGTTTTGTTCTCTCTCTGCGTTCGTCACTAATCACGCAATGCCGACATCCTAAAATATGAATATTTTTCTTACAAAAACGCATGGATTTGCTACAGGAGGCCTTTATTCAACCCCCGGAGCTGTGTGAGGCACATTTTATTATGGATGTGCGCACTTTATTTAACTTGTTTTGGACTGTTGAACAGAAACACCCGCCCACTGCAATGATAGAGCTTAGAAGTGCCAGGACAATTTTTAATATAACTCTGATTGGATTCGTCTGAAAGAAGAAAGTCATATACACCTAGGATGGCTTGAGGGTGAGTAAATAACAGGCTAATTTTCATTTTTGGGTGAACTATCCCTTTAATGTTTTTTGAGACCTCAAAGTCATTCAGCATGTGAAATTATGCAGTTCTGTGTTCTTGTTTTTTTTATATTTCTATTCTACTGTTTGTCTACATTATCAGGAGAAGATGTGTGAAGAGTCCACCTCGTTTGACCTCACCCCTTACGACCTGATTTCTGCCATTGAGGCCGTGGATCGACTGCTGCAGGAACAAGCCTCAGACATCAGCAAAGCAGATTCTGCTGAAGATTTTAATGTGGAATCGCTGAACTCTGGTTAGTTTATATTTGTCAAGATTTTTGTTTGCTTTTTAAATTTTTTTTCCTATTAAAAATGTTGTTTATATTTTAAATATTATATAAAATTATTTATGTATGTATACATTTTATATATACTCACACACACTCCCTTGTTTTTATCCAATGTATTATTTTGCAGGATTGAAACTGGATATTACCACAATTGCAAAAATAAAACGTAGGTTGCATTTTAAAAGTTAATATTGTAGTACAGTATTATGCTTAAGGAGTTGTTTGGAATCCATTTTTCAGTATAAAGAAAAACATTTTCCTCAACGCACAACTTAATAATCTTACAGAAGTTTTGATGGATCTGGAATCTTCCATTAACGGTTTTGAGATGCCAGCAAATAGTCAAGGAATCACCAAACCCGGCAGGTCAGTGGAGTTCAGTGCTGCGAATGTGTATCCGTGACCTTGATATATTGACAGTAAAAAATACACAACAGCTAATATTCTGTCTCTTCCTCTCTTAAAGTTTCATATATGAGCTTTTTCAAACAGCTCATGTGAACTCTGATACTAAAACAGCTGTGGTGGAAGCCATGGAGCAGATCACAGGATATTTAGCAGGGAGTGAGTCTTTACAAATCCTCAATATAATTGACGTTTGCTGTTTATTAGTGCAGCTTTGATGCACATATGTCATTTTTTGCAGGGCCTGGTGTCTTTCTGAACACTAGTGGACTACAGAAAGTGGCGGATATAATCCAGGTCAGGAGCATGTTAAAGAGATCAGTTGTCTGTTTTCTGTATTTTTTCCCTATATTTATTGTGTTTGTTTCTTTATCCTTATTAAGCTGGTGTTTGGGGCTGAACCTCCAGAGGGCAGCAAGAAATCACAGATGGGAAACAGCATGAAGGAGTTTAAGGTTTGCTCCAGTTGATTTTCATATTCATGCCGTCTTCATCAGTACATGAAGTTGTCTGAGCGCATCAGGTTTTAGGTTTTCTCCAGTCAAGTCCAATGGTACATTTATATCTCTGATTATTTTAAGAGTGGAACTGTTGCTGTTTTTAAAACTAAGGCCAGTTCAAGTTGTGGTTTTGTCCTGAGTTTTAATGGGAAATTCCATCATGCATCCATCCCATTCCATCCATCTTTTTGGAAAGAAATTAATACTTTTTTCGGCAAGGATGCACTAAATTGATCAAAAGTAATAGTAAAGACATTTAGAATGTTACAAAAGATTTCTATTTCGAATAATGGATAAAATCCAGGATAAAAAAATCCACAAAAATATTAAGCAGCAAAACTGTTTTCACTATTGGTAATAATCATAAATGTTTCTTGAGCAGCAAATCAGCATATTAGAATGATTTCTGAAGGATCATGTGACACTGAAGACTGGAGTAATGATGCTGAAAATTCAGCTTTGCATCACAAGAATATATTATATTTGAAAATATATTAAAATAGAAAATAGTCATCTTAAAGTGTAATGATATTTCACAGTATTACATTTTCTACTGTATGTTTGATCCTTGTTGAGCATAAGTTTTCTTTCAAAAACATAATTGTACTGATCCCAAACTATTGGATGGTACTGTCTGATATATGTCTGATGATAGTTCCTCTTGTCATTGTCTTTCACTTCCAATCTCTGCTCCTGATTCCTGAATCTGTCTCATATCAGGTCCACATTCATCCAGACACCAGCAACTTCAAGAAGAAACAGGTGACTGATGTATGGGCTTCCTCCTCTACCAAAAAACAAGGTATGACACTCTTATTCGGTCTCTGTGAAGCCTCATGTTTAGTAAATGTGTTTTCAAAAGGAATTTGATATTTTGGAAAACCTGTTTATTGCGTCAATATTCGAAGTGTTTGTTGCCTTGGTGCACGTACATTCGGCTTCCACAAAGAAATGCTGGAAAAAAGTGAACTTGCACGTTAAACCTGTATGCCTGAGCTGTGAAAGATTGAAAGTGTGTTTGCATATTTTATAGGGAATGTGCTGAGCTACTGGTGTTTTTCTCCGGGGTTCAGCATGCAGGAGTTGCTCAGACAGGGAGTACGCAGCATCATTCTGACCAGTGGAACCCTCTCGCCGCTCTCATCCTTCACCTGTGAAATGCAAATGTTAGTGCTCTTCTCCTCTAGCTGTCCCCTCTGAGTTGATGCGGGTTGGGTGCTAATTCTCTGCTGATTTTTCTGCAGTCCTTTCCCTGTATCCTTGGAGAATCCTCACGTCATCCAGCGTGATCAGATCTTTGTCAGTATCATTGAAAAAGGTCCAGACGGTGTGCAGTTGAGCACAGCCTTTGACAGGAGGTGAGTGTTTTATCAAGGGTTGTTCAGTCACATTAACATCCTCTGCTGAAGTTGAAGAAGTTTGGGGTCAGTAATTTAGTACATATATTTAGCAAAGACTAATTAAATTGATCTAAAATGACAGGAAAGAGATTTACAGTAACTAAAGATTTCTATTACAAATACTGTTCTTTTCATGATAATAATAAGAAATGTTTCTTGAGAAGCAAATTTGCATTTTACAATGATTTCTGAAGGATCATGTGACACTGAAGACTGGAGTAATGCTGAAAATTCAGCTTTGCATCACAGGAATAAATTACATTTTAAATGTCAATGTTATTGTAGTTAGCTCAAACTTTTTAATTCTAAAATTAATTTCAGCTAGTTGCCAAGGCAGCATTTCTTAATTTAGTTTAACTTGATGTACTAAAATAAAAACTGAAATATTAATAAAAAATATATAGACATATAAAACTACTAAAAATGACAAACACACAACAAACAAAATTTGGTACCAAAATTGTAACTACAATGAAAATGTAAAATATAAAAATAAAAACTGATTCAAAATATTAATAGAAACTATAATAGTATCTGATACTGTTATTCTTATCTGAGATGTGATTTTTATATTGACCATGGGCTGTCAAAACCCAAAAAGACCAAAAAAGAAGCACTATAAAACAGGATTATTATAGTTAACTAAAACCATAAAAAACATTTTTTGTTACTTGAAATAAAACCAATATTTAAAAAAATTTCACGGACAAAATTCTCATTTTTGTTTGGTTTAGCTGGGTGTACTAAAATACCTAAAACTAAAACTGAAATAAAAATAATAAAAAATATATGGACATTAAAAAACTAATAAAAATGCCAAAAACACAAAAATTACTAAAACATTAACTAAAAAAGGTAAAAACAGAAAAAATAAAAACGAATGCAAACTATTAATAAAAACTATAGTAGTTTCTCACTGATACTAAAATAACACTGCTGTAAAAGCACCATAAAAGCAGCTCATGTGACATGTTTGCTATATTTCAAGTCTTCTGAATCCATATGACTGGTTTGTGTGAAAAGGTTCAGTTTAGTATGTGAACATGGCTCTCTTTGGTTTTTGAAGGTTCGTTCCTGAAAACATGTCTTCCATGGGAAACACTCTGGGTGAGAGATCCTCGCACAAAACAGCAGCTGATCTGATCACTTATCAGTAATAATCTGATGATCAGCATGATTATCAATGTAATGATTATCATTGGCTTTGCAGTCAATCTGGCACGGGTGGTGCCTCATGGACTGCTGGTGTTCTTCCCCTCGTATCCGGTGATGGATAAGACTCTGGAGTTCTGGAGGGTGAGCTTGTATTTCAGTCTGTCTGCAATAAAGCTGCAATTACCTGTAGCTGACTCAGAAAGTCTTCATTTCATAAAGTCATGCCATTAAATATTTCATGCACTGCAAAAATATTTTCCGCAGTGTTTTTGTTTTCCAATACAAATATCCTTACATCAGGATACATTCCCTTGAGATGTAGAGTGAAGATTTGAAGTCTTGTTTTCTGAGAAACTGAACAAAATGAAGCGAGTTTATATTTAAAACGAGAACAAATATCTATCAATCGGGAATTAAAACTGGTTTTCCCTTTGAATTAAGTCGATTTTTCTGAGCCCATTGGCAGATATTTGTTCTTGTTTTATTCATAAATTTGCGTCATTTTGATCCATTTGTCTTATATTTGCCCTGAAAAGTAAAACAAAAATACTGAATGTCAATTTTTTGCAGCGCTATCAGAAGGTACAGTAAAAGCTATTTGCATAATAACGATTGGCAGCAAAGCTATTTAAGCCATAAGCTTTTTTTTTAGTACTATGAATTAAAAAGTAATGAAGAAATGTTGACAGCTGTATTTTCAAACTTTGATGAAGCACTGTTAACACAAGACATTTACATTTAGAGGCTATATTGATATATTACTGTACATTCCATTAAATTTATTCCTTAAATTTGCTTTATTTGGCCTCAAAAAGGTTATAAAAGTCTTAAATTTACCTTCATAAAACCTGCAGAAACCCTGTTTATTGTGAAATAAATGAAAGACTATTTTACAAGCATTTTTTTTTTTTTTTACAAGTTTCCATTTTTAAGGGTAAAATTGATGTAGATTTCGTTTTTTGCCAACTGTAGCATTTAAGTCATTATACACCACTCCCTTCACTCTCTCAGGCTAATGGACATGCCGATCGCATTGAGCATGTGAAGCCCATGTTTGTTGAACCGAGGAGTAAAGGCACTTTTACAGAGGTAACCGCTATTGCTATCAGTCATATAATAACTGTTCACTCAGTATGAGTTGATATAGATGCTATCATAATGCTAACACAGCTTGATCTGCACAAGCTGTCAGTCAGTGCCGCTCTGAAATTGGATTCTCTTGCAGGTGATTGATGGTTATTATGACAAGGTGAACGACCCAAACTCCAGCGGAGGCAGCTTCTTCGCCGTATGCAGAGGAAAGGTGAGACTATAAATATCTGATGCAATAAAAATTATTTATTATGAACCAAGACCAGTAATATCAACATATTTTTTCTGTTTTCCAAGGCAAGCGAAGGGTTGGATTTTGCAGACACGTACGGTCGAGGGGTTGCGATCACTGGGCTTCCCTTCCCCCCCAGGATGGACCCCAGAGTGGTGCTAAAAATGCAGTATCTGGACGAGATGTGCAAGAATAAAATTAGTGGAGTGAAGGTACCTGCTCTTCAAGATTTAATATTAAGATTGTCAATTTAACATGTTTATTTATTACAATTTTAATTCAATTAAAAATCAATTAATTGTTCAAACCTATTATTTACATTTATTTTAGATTTAGATTTTATAAATGAATACTTATTTAGCAAGCATGCATTAAGTTGACCAAAAGTAATATGCAAATCAGCATATCAGAATGATTTCTGAAGGATCATGTGACACTGACAACAACTGAAGTAATGATGCTGAAATTCAGCTTTAACATCACAGGAATACATTACATCTTAAACTATATTAATATAGAAAACATTTTTGTAAATTGTAATATTATTTCACAATATTACTGTACTTTTGAGCCCAAACGTTTTAATACAAGTGAAAATATGAATTAATTATTTATTAATTTATTAAAAAATGCACTAAAGATATAATTCATACATATAATGTAAATGAATATCATTGATCACTGATATCATAATGAAGAGAAATTCCTTAGTAAAAGGATCAAATTCTTGAAAAGTAGTTTGTTATTGAATATTATATTTATTATTATTTCTTATAAAAAAAATATGTCCTTTTGACCTTTTATGACATGGAAAGGTTAGTTCAGGTTGTAAATATGTCATACAATCCCCAAATAATATTTGTGACCCTGGAGCACAAAAGCAGTCATAAGTAGCATGGGTATATTTGTAGCAATAGCCAACAAAACATTGTATGGGTCAAAATGATCCATTTTTCTTTTATGCCAAAAATCATTAGGATGTTAAGTAAAGATCATGTTCCATGAAGATATTTTGTAAATTTCCTACCGTAAATATATCAAAACTTAATTTTTGATTAGTAATATGCATTGCTAAGAACTTCATTTCGACAACTTTATAGGCGATTTTCTCAATATTTTGATTTTATTTATTTTTTGCACCCTCAGATTCCGGATTTTCAAATAGTTGTATCTCGGCCAAATATTGTCCTATCCTAATAAATCATACATCAACGGAAAGCGTATTTATCCAGCTTTCAGATGATGTATAAATCTCAGTTTTGAAAAATTGACCCTTATGACTGGTTTTGTGGTCCAGGGTCACGTTCATGCATTAATAATTCACGATGTTTGTGAAAAAAAAATGTACCAATACCTTAAAATATTTGTATATTTTTATTTGAATATTGTATTATTTAGTACATTTGTAATATTTTTATTTTAAAACTTTTTGGAAAATAATGATGACGGTGTGTACACTCATGTACATGTATTCAAGGTGTAAAGAAAACCTGCAGTGAACTGCGTATGGTTCAGGTAGAGCTGTGTGTTCTTATGGTCTGTCTGGTTGTTTAGTATCTGTCTGGGCAGGAGTGGTACAGACAGCAGGCCTCTCGAGCCGTCAATCAAGCCATTGGCAGAGTGATCCGGCACAGAGAAGACTACGGAGCTATTTTCCTCTGTGATCACAGGTCAGTGCTAATTACTACAACTGCAATTCCCTGTTGTGTGACTGGAGAGCAAGTACGCAGATATTAATGTTCTGGGTTTATAATTCCAGGTTCACAGGCACCGAAGCCCGTAATCAGCTTCCTTCATGGGTGAGGCCGTATGTTAAGATTTATGATGGCTTTGGTACCATGGTCCGTGATGCGGCTCATTTCTTTCGGACGGCGCAAAAAACTGTAAGTCCATTTCTTGTTCATGTTTTCCTGTTCCATGAACCTGTTTTTACACTAATAAGAGCTGACATGCACATTTCTTGGTCGATTTGTGTATCAGAGACCAGTTCCTGTTAGGAAAGAAAAAGAGGCCTGTAAAAATCAGGCAGACACCGGGCCGCTCAACACAGGCTCCAGCTGTCCTTCTAAGAGTGTCTGGCTCAGTGACACCTCTCAAAAGGCCAAAACACTAGACTCACACATCCCTAGCCTAAAGTGGAGAAAATTAGGTGAGCTCACCTCTATTCCTCCTTTTTTCTGGCTTTTTAATGAGGTCTGAGGCTCTTGGATGACTGTTCATTAAGACATATTTCACATCTTGGAGGTTTATGTCCTGCTTGAATCTACTGTATTTTTTTTTAAACCGTAATCGATAAAAAGTCAAGTAATTAAGCAATGAGTTATAATTTGGTCACATTCTGAGACTGTGATTTATAAAAAAGCCCAGTTGAAGCAATTAAACATTAACATTAGACAATGCTAGGAGACAATTCTGTTTTGAACGGAGACAGAACCCTCAGATTTGATCATTTGGAGGATGTTTTGACATTGATTTTTATTTAATTGCTGTCAGTTACAGTACTTGTCAAAAGTTTGGAAATATGGTGTTTTTTAAATGTTTTAAATTAAGTCTTTTATGCTAACCAGGGCTGCATTTATGTACTCAAAAATACAGTAAAAACACTAATTTTGTGAAATAGTATTACAAAATAAATTAAAATATAAAATGTTTTCTATTGTAAGATATTTTAAAATGTAAATGATTCCTGTGATGCAAAGCTGAATTTTCATCATCATTACTCCAGTCTTCAGTGTCATATGATCTTTCAGAAATCATTCTAATATGCTGATTTGCTGCTCAAGAAGCATTTATTATTATTATTTTCAATGCTGAAAACAGTTGTGGTTCTTAATATATATGTCGAAACCATGATTATACTTCCATTCAAATGTTTGGGCTTTGTGTGCATGTTTTTAATAGAAATTAATGCTTTTGTTTTGTAAATATGCATTAAATTAATCAAAGGTCACATTAAAAACATTTATAATGTTACAAAAAATTCTATTTTAAATTAATGCTGTATGAACTTTCTGTTCATCAAAAAAATCCTGAAAATGATTTCATTAAATATTAAGCAGAAAAAATGGTTTTTAACATTGATAGTCATAAGTGCCATTATTAATAACTGAGCAATAATAATAATTGAGCACTAAATTAGCATATTACTATGATCTCCCAAGAATCATGTGACACTGAAGACTGGAGTAATGATGCTGAAGATTCAGCTTTGCATCACAGGAATAAATTACATTTTAAAATATATTAAAATAGAAAATAGTTGTTTCAAATTGTAATAATATTTCACAATATCACTGTTTTCACTGTATTTTATTCAAATAATTGCAGCCTTGGTGAGCATAAGAGACTTCATTAAAATTATTTTAAAAATCATTATGTTTTCAAACTTTTGTGCATTCAGTGCGAGTCAGTTAAAATGATCCTGATGTTTTAGAGTCAGAAGAGCATTCTGGTCGGGATGGAGCGGCCAGACTTTGCATTCAATATGAGATGGAGATGACAAGTAAAAGGAAACCAGTCAGCCTGCTGGATGCCCTGGATGACACAACCAACAAGGGAGGGAGGGAAGACACCATGGCTGGGGAAGAAAGAGTGAGACAAGAATTAAATCACTAGAGAAATCATTTCGTTGCTCTCTTTCCAAACCAATTTTCTTTTCTTTCTGCCATTTAGCATAAAATGAGATGTAATGCAGAATGTCGGAGCAGCTGTTTTCCATATAATGAAAGTGCATGGGGATGTATATGGAAATGGTCCAAAAGAGGACAAGTATAATAAAAGTAGTCACATGCGACCTGTGCGCCCTTTTTCCAGGTCTTTTAAATTCATACGACAGTTCAGTGGTGAAGGCAGTGATTTCACATTTCTCAGAGAAATTGGAAGTGAATAACCTAGAAAATGAATTTTTTGCTGAATAAATGAGATATGAATGGTAAGAAATTACCTCATAAATCATGATCAGGGTTTTGAGTGACACCATGATCTCTTTTTATCTGTTTGTCAAATCTTTCTACTTTCGTCAATTTAGCTCATTGTGCAGGTCTGTAAAAAAATTCTTATGCCGTAAAATAACTGTGATCAAATCTTTTTGCTAATTTTCCCTTTCTCTCATTGGTCTTTGACCCTGCAGGCGAGTCGCTTGTCGACTCTTTCTAATGTGACTGAACCGCTCATACAAGACCACAACACACACTGTCTGCTCAGAGGTGCGGAATCATGACACATCCTTCAAGCCAATTACATTTCCACTGCTAGTTCAACTAATATGCCTTCTAACATTTGAATTCCCTTCACTGATCTCTGATTGTGACTGGAATCAAAACGGGCAGATAAAGAGCATCATCTTCTTTTTCTCAAGGTCTTTATCAGTTTATTCGACCACACCATAAGAAAGAGTTCGATGAGCGTTGTTTGGAGTTAACAGGTGAAGGCTGTGGCTATAAACAAGAGCATTCGCTGTCCAGAGAGGAGCGAGAGGCTCTCGGGCAGAACACAGGTAACATCTGACTTGTAAATAGTGTGTAACAGTTACAGGAAACATTTAGAACTTATTTTCTCTCTCCATAATGATAAATAACATTGTTTTATGTTTTCCTTTTCTAGCAAAAAGTGAGATGTCACCTGTGAATCCACCCAGTGAGCAGCTGAATTCGAGTCAACAGCTGAACCAAGGTGGTTCTCACCTGGTCAATGGTGGGGATGGTAAAATTGGAGGTATATTGGAGTTTATTGGTATTAACTGCAATTAAAAAGGTCTTGTATAGGGTGGCCATCAGTCCAGTTTTAAAACACCACGTCTGTCTATTACCGTATGCTGGAGCCGCTCATTTATCCTCTTTTTAAGACTACTGTTTTATATTTTATACAATGGCCTATATTATAAATAAATGAACAAATGTTATGTTCAAGTTAAAATTAAGCAACATACACTTTATACGTTATATTGTCAGTATGGCTGTTTTGCTCCATTTTGCCAACATTGCATCTCTGATCAACACAGTGTTTTGTATCTGTATGATTCAGCGTTTTTGAACAAATCAGGTGAGTCAGTGATTCAATAAGCCATTCATGAAGACAGTTGCTAAATTCAAAAATGCATACTAGTTTACCACTCTTCACCACTATTTTAGCTTATCCTTTGATGGCAGAAATAGTAAGAGTAGTATGCTAGTATGCAGTTCCGAAATCGAGTCACTTGCTTAATTTCTAAACGAATCGGCCATTTTGAACGAATTGATTGAATGAGTGAATCAGTGACTGGCTTAATATGATTTGTCGCCACCTACTGATGGTTTTAGATTCATATTTAAAGTTTCATAATTCTGTATTCAGTTTATTTTATATTTAACGCATTCATCTCCTAACATTATTTATGCATTTTAACTGCAGTGGCATCAGCATTAAAGGGGTCATATGATGCGATTTCAATTTTTCCTTTCTCTGCCGCCGCCGCCATGTCGTGAAGGCGCTGTGTTTCATTGTGAAAGAGAAACTACTTTGGTTTGGACGATATCCGCTTCGTCATGCCTGGTGCTGATCTGTGCTGGTCGCTGAGGAAATACATCAACTTCGCGCTGTCAATCGCCGGATCGGCTTTCACCGTGAACGAAGCGGAGTCCAGCCCGGGGTCGTCACATGTGGTTGCAGCAAGCCGAAGTTGAATCCACCAGCCGCGCCGTTCTCAAGCCCGCCTTTTCAGACCGATTAGTTTTGTAAAAATCGACGCGTTTCAGAAAGGCGGGGCATAGAGGAGAAACAATAATGTACAGTATGTGGAAAATGTGTTTTTTGAGCCTTAAACCGCATAAACACATTTCATTACACCAAATACACAAAATAATGTTCTTTTTAGCAGCATCATATGACCCCTTTAAACAGTCTGTGTAAATGCATCTAAATGTCACTTCAGATGCACTTTTGTGGTACATAGATAGATTTTGTTGATTTTGATGCCCTACTGTCTTGCTATTCTAACTGAATTTATTGAATTTACATGAAAGATGATGCATACATTTAATAAGATTAGAAAATTTGCCCTCATAAAGGTTAAAAATGTCCCTAGAAATAAATTTAAGGGGGTAAATATCATCTCTTAATGGAAAAGTTTATTTTTTGTTACTGGTTTAGGATAATTTTTCCGTTTTTATTCTGGCTTCAAATCCTGCATAGTGTCCTCCTTTTCGGTAGACATTGCCACCCTATTCTTGATGCAGACATTTGTACATTTGCGACTTGTTTTTTGAAATTTTACAGTGAATGTGAGAAGTGAAGTCCAGAAGCCACAAACATCCATCAAAGAAGGTCTGTCGTGCTCCTCTCTGCTGTCAGACATTAAACAGGCCATCGGTGCAGAAAAAACCCGTCAGATGTTTTTGGCCTTGCAGGCCTATAAAACATCAAACAATTATGAACAGATGGTGTCAACTGTTGTGAGTTTATTGACTGAGAGAGATGAAGACATCGCTCTACTAGAACGTTAGTCTGTTTCTTTTAGATTCATCATAACCTTTTACATTTTTTATTAAACTGGGTATCTGTTGGGAAAGAGGCTGAACTTGTTGGGTCTGGTCTAGGGTTGTCTGTGCTCATTCGACCACAGCACAGGAAGCAGTTCGGTGAGCTGTTAAAATCCTTGACCGGAAATGATTCTGTTGTGAACCAGAATTCAGACATGGGATCAAGTCAACTAAATCAAGGTATTCTTTGTAATAATTGTGTGTAGATATTGTATTCTGCTATAGGGATGGATGGTAGATGAATTTGCTAATCGTTCTTAATTGTTATTTTTCATTGCAGCATCTCAGTTATCTGCAGGAAAGACTCAAAGCAAGATATCATCCTTCTTTTCATGAATGCTGCTCTAATATATTGCTCCAAGCTGCTCTAAGATATCAGTATCTTCATTTTTTTTTTTTTACATATAACATGCATGAAGAGATTTAAACAGGAGAATGTTGAAAAAATGGCATAACTGATATTTATGTAATTATATTTTGGCAATAAACACTTTACATTAATTGTTTGTAATAAATAAATGAACTTTATACTTCTTTTAAATGGTGTTTTTTCAAGTTCTTTTTTTTATTAATGTTAAAAATGTAAATGAAAAATAGTATGCGAGTGATTTGGCATCTGAACATTTTATCTTCCCTGTACCATTAAGTAGCACTATTTTATTTCATTTTATATTTTTATGTACTATATTTTTATTCTTAATGATTAAAATGTATTCTCTTGAGAAAAGATATTAGACCAAATGTGTTATATAAACAAAGCTTGATTGGATATACAATGTTATTTCCTAAAAATAATATAGGCTTCTAGTTATTTATAAAAGAAATAAATTCAAATGTACAAGCAATAAGTTAAGCAAAAATAAGTTAAAGCCATATAATATGGATTAACAGATATTAAAGACAAATGTGGTTTTCCTTTTCTTTCTTTCTTTTTTTTTAAACCGTACAACAACTATTTTACATGTAGATGGACTCAAAATAAAAGGACTGTCTGGGAATTATTATTATTTTTATTTAGCACAACATGTATTTGTATAGTGGGAATTCAATACAAAATATTGAATACAAAATTAAATTCATGCTCTTGTTTTTATTTAATAACACAAAAACAGGAGGCATTACATTATTAACAAATTGTCACAATATTAACACCATAGCTGCTAAAAATAAAATATATTTCGGTGTTTTTAAAACACCGCAGCATTTTCATTTTTCTTTGTTCCAAAAGGTTTATGTATAATTTAAGTTCATTTAAACGTAAGAATTTTTTTTTCAACGATCTATCTTTTTATATAATTTATTCACTGAAATCGGATGTAGGAAGCAAGAGCTGATCGATGACGACAGTGAGGTCAAAGTTGAGCGACTCCCGAAAGCTTCAGCAGGTGGAGGTGGCGCTATCTGCTGGTTTGGGCTCAGCGGAGCAGGCTGACATCCTGAAGCTAAAGGAGGACCTGCAGCAGCTCATTGAGCTCACAGAGTCCAGCCTGGTGTCTGTCAAAAAAAGCCAGTTGCTGGCCTCTTTGGAGGAGCCTTCGACCACATCTGTTACTCAAAAAACGGCTTTAGAGGATGAGTTTGCTGCTGAACTGTCAGAGGACTCTGCTGAGGTAAAGCAAAATGCTGAACCGGATGAGGAGGAAGAAGAGGTGGATATAAGTGGAACTAAGGTACGTGCTCCTCATGGGGAACCCTAGAGTACCATAATGCCATGGTGGTCTGCCCCGAAGAGCCAGAAGGAGAAGAGGCTCGAGTCCGGGTGCTTTACCTTCATCCCACAAACAAATCCATGAAACCCTGCGGCTTCTACCTTGAGGGCAAGTGCCGCTTCATGGACAACTGCAATCTTCAGGTTTTGTTTTTTTTTTAACAAAAAAGTGTGGAGTTTTGATATTTTTTGATGGCCAGACATTATACTTTTCACAAAAAAAGAAAACATTAAAAAAATACAAATTTGAAAAACTTTTATACCATTTTCAACAAAAGTTGAAATGAAATTACGTAAAAAAAAAAAATCTTACACCTTACATACATGTGAGTGCACACATCTTAATCATTATTTTCGTAAAAGTTGCATTTATTGAAAGGTAAAACAGTTTATTAAAAGGTAACGTTTATTGTTTAATAAATATTGTACATATATTTATACATACATAAAAAAAAAATTTCCAGGTAGTGGTGGTCTATGGTGGCAATTTTGTTTTATGTAGCTGTTTTGTTGACTAATGTGTGTGTTTTTCAGGTACTCTCATGGTGAGGCGGTGTGTGTATCAGAGCTCAGGGACTTCCTGGAGGCTGACATCAGTAACATGGAGTCGGGCTCTGCGTGTTTGGCCAAGCATGAAGATGGCATCTGGTACCCGGCCAGAATATCAGGTACAATTTCTAAGTTCTTTCAGCGCCATTAACAGAAAGGAAGAACAGAGATTGCTACATGAAATCATTTCTGTGTTACCTTCCCTACAATTTACAAGACAGAGAGAGATTCCTTATTGATCCCCAAGGGGAGATTTAATGGGATATATCAGCAGCTTCAAACATAGACTGTACAAAAACACAACAGTATGTGCACTCGATCAGGTAAAACTGAGCAATACATTACAGGTGTGCATGAGTCATTGTGCTTCTCTTTTTCCAGAGATTGAAGGTGGCTTGTACACAGTGAAATTTGACTCGTTGCTGTTGAAGGAGGCTGTGCTGGAGGCTGATGGGATCATTCCTCCTCTTCGTCAAGATGATGGTTCCCCCTCTTCCTCATCGGACTCAGAGGATGATACAGACCAGTGTGACGCCGTCTATGCTAAAGGTGCATAATTACAACATCCTCTGGAATATTGTGTACTGGAGTGTCTGAAGAACTACAGTACAGTATACTGTAGGCTGAGGAAAATATATCTGGGTCAGTCTTTTAAAAGACCCATTTATATTCTTTATAAAAAAAAATAGAGAGAAAAAAACAGCATATTTTTAACATATATCTTCTGTAACATTATAAATGTCTTAACTGTTGCTTTTTTAATGCATCCTTGCTTACAAAAATTCCTTTCAAAAACAAAATCTTACTGACCCCAAATTTTTGAATGGTAGTGTTAATTGTATAAGTAAAAAATACAGTTAAAAACTATTACAATATTGAGAATCTCCAATGAGAAAAATGGGAATTAAAAAAAAAGTTAAACATCCAGACACACCACAGTAAACAGGAATCTTGGGGAATGTTCTTAATTGTTATAAAAAAATGAAACATGGATACTAAAATATGCATTTCTTTATGGAAAATGTTTTCTTATTGTTTTGTTCCATTTTAAATGTGGACTGAATATATGATCAGATTAAAACGAACTGAATGTCATTGTGCTTGTTACCTGTTTTCAGTAAAGCAACATAGACCTTCTGCAGAATAATCTTTCAAATATAAGATCAGTTCGTAGATCAAATAAATTAACCCCACATTAAATTGATCAAAAGTGACAGTAAAGACATTTATATTGTTACGAAAGATTTCTATTTCAAATAAATGCTGTTTCTATTCATAAAGATATCCTCAAAAATAAAATAATAATAAGAAGAATTATTATTGTTGATAATAGTACAAATGTTTCTTGAGCAGCAAATCTGAAGGATTTCTGAAGGATCATGTGACAATGAAAACTGGAGTAATGATGCTTAAAAGTCAGCTTTGCATCACAGGAATCAAATAAATGTAAAAATATATTCTAATACAAAACATTTATTTTAAATTTTAATAATATTTCACAATATTACACTTTTTATTGCATTTTTAATCAAATACAGTATATGCAGCCTTGGTGAGCAAAAGAGACTTCTTTCAAAAACATTTCAAAGGGGTGCCCATTTTCGACGAGTTGGGCTCTGTTTTTACCTTGTCAAAAACAGCTCTTCATCCGATGTCCCCGGATTAAAAAAAAAAAAAAGCTTGTGTTCCTTTTAAGAGAAAGTAAATCAGTTGATTCCGTATGCAGCATACAAATGCTCTCTGATGTGTATAATCTATCATCTGATACATTTGCTGTTAGGATTAGAGCCCTGCACTTGGTGTGTGATTCCTCCTGGGACCTGAGGGATGAATTGTGGTCCTCAGTAAACAGACACTCCCCTTCTCCTCTCATGAATACACTGTGAACACTGCACTCTGTCTTGCTGCAGAGACAAACATTCAAACACCTGGGCTAAGGGCGGCTTTACCATTGGTGAGGATTTGAACAGATATCGGTGCGAGAAAGTTATAAAACATTCTAACTCAAACTTTTTCCCATTTATAGGACTCAGGAAGATCTACTTGCTCTGATTGATGCACATCACCGCATAACCAAACATTGTAGTGACCCCACTGGAGCACTGGAGTACATAGCAGGTACTGCTGGGACATGAAATGCTTTTAAATTAATCGGCCTGGTTCAATACGAACTTGTTGATGATGTTGGTTGATCTGTTCTCTCCACAGGTCACCTGGTTTATGGGAGCCACATGTCAGACCATGCTGATCTAGCAGCTGTGCAGAGTGTGATCAGGGCTTCTCTAAGAGATCCATCTACATTATGGGGGCGTGGCCAACACATTCTCTCAGATATGATTAACTTTACAGGAAGATTTGGTATGCAAACACTCGAATTACACTTAAATTTCCATAATAAGCTATATAGCAGAGGTTCTCAACCAGAAGACCCAGCAATTAGCAATTTTAAGTTTTAAAATAAATAAAATTATTATTATTATTATTATTTAAGAACCAGCATTCCCATGATTTTAGAAACCTGCATGTATGTGGTAGCTAACGTTTATTATTTCTAGACACGGAAAAGTCATGTAAATGAATACAGTCTTAAACAGCCCATGCTAATTAGAGTTAACTAAAACTAAAACCATAAAAAATTCATTCATATTAGGTGACCTTAACTACTATGTACTTACATCAAAAAATAAGTACAATGTACTTATTGTGTTCATATTGTATTGCAAAACACTTCTGCTTCTATTGAGGTGGGATACGGGTAAGGTTAGGGACAGGTTTGGTGGTATGGGTAGGTTTAAGGGTGGGTTAAGGTGTAAGGGATGGGTCAACAGTGTAATTATAAATGTAATTACAGAAATTAATTACAGATGTATTTGCATGCAGGTATTTTTAAAAATATAAGTACAATGTAAAAACATGTATGCAAGAAGTGCATTGTATTAAATGATTAATTTAAATGTAAGTACATAGTAGTTAAGGCCACTTAATATAAAGTGGGACCAAAAATTTCATTACTTGAAATAAAATAAATGTTAACTGAAATAACATAAAATATAAAAAGCTTGAACTTATTTTATTTCAGCTATTTAAGACAACATTTCTTATTTATCATATCTCATTTTCATATATGTAAATATTTCGAGTTATGGCAAGCTCTAAAATATTTTGTTGGGTGGAAATTTAAAAAATCCTTAATTATTAATTAATCCTTTTAAAAAATCCTTAATCC